CTGATTATGTTCACCTACCTTAAAGAAGCTCTTAGTTTGGAAGGTGTGAAGCATCACAGATTAAACACGCTTCGTTCAGTTAAAATTAAAGCTACTATTATCTCCACCCATCATTGTGGTGAGGCAGAGTCCATATTTACTTCACATATGTTGAGTCAGTCATTCGTGTTGTTTGACAAAACAAAAAATTACCTCATTCATTATGGGATGATTCCCACATTCAGATGAATAAATGTGTAAAATATGCACAGTCTTCATTTGGTGAAAATAAACACTCATAAACACTTTAGCAGTGTGATGACAAAAAAAAAAAAAAGACATAATCCCAGGCACACAGAAAATACCCCATGTCTCTGTTTCCATCTTGTACCACATATCCATAGTTGGGTTGCGGAGGCAACGGGTCCAGGACAAAAACTCAGATGTATCTTGGGGTGGATTTTCCTTCACTAAATTGTCTCAACACAGAAACAGGTGAAATAAACGATGTTTTCATAAATGGGTTTTGAATTTTTTTCTTGTAATAAACAGACACACGTCACACAGGATGCTTCACACAGCCTGCGGAGGAAGTGTGTATGACAAAAAGTTCAATCTAGTTTTATAGCTCTCCTTCTCGTGATAAGAAAGACATGAAAATGGATGAGAAAGACATTGTGCTCTGAGTTTTTCGGTAACTGGGCTGTTGTTTATGTACCCCTGTTTTATTTAGATTAAACATGCACCAGTTAGACAAGATATCAACCGTGAGATGTATTTGTTGTATTTTGGCGTAACAGGAGATGCATGAATCATCATTATTTCAAAACACCCTGAATTTATATTTAGGGTAAAGCACAAAGTTCTCTGTTACACCGTGTTGAAGAAAGTCTCTCTCAGTAACTTTGTTTACCCAAAAGAACCACACTCAATGGAAGGAGAAGATATTTATCCAGCATTTTACAGACGCTGGTGAACTTGGTGAAGATTCTCAGTCATCCAGGACATGAAAATTTAAAAAAAGCTCAAGACAAAAACAACGGGACTTTATTTGCACCAGAAGACGTTTTGCCTCTCGTCCGAGAAGCTTTCTCAATTCAAAGAACAGTGAGTGTGGGGTCCATAAGTGAAGCGTCTTCTGTTACAAAGTCCAGTTGTTTTTGTCTTAACTTTTTTGAATTTACTTGCAAAGACCCATTCAAGACCGATACATGCAACATGTCACAGAAATGAGCGTCAAATCGAGTCATCTGCAGATTTTAAACAGCAGCAGAGTCCAGTGGGCGTTCCCGGGCGTTCCCTCTTAGCCAGCTGCAGTCAGCAGCACACACATGATTCATGGCCGCCGGCGAGTCGGCCTCCAGGTTGAGATAAGAGAATGTTTTGGGCATGTCCTCATGGCGACAACGCCAGCGAGGCACTGCGAGTCAGTGAGCCGGCCTCCAGGATGAGATAAGAGATTGTTTTGGTAGACAGCAGGATTTCAGGGTAAAGAGAAATATGTTTCTCAGCCATATCCGAAAAAAACACAATACAACATTCATGACCCTTGACCGAAACTTCTCTAACAGTCTCTCTCTCAGACATTAATTGTTTTATTTTACTTCAGAATAAATACTCATGGTCAAAACTGTCAGTGTTCTTCAAAATGGTTTTATGTTTAGAAGGTAACAATATGTCTGTCTCCCTCTCCCTCACAACTGGACATTTAGTAAGTTTGGTATGCGGTTTATTTCTTTTAAACTAAGTCTGCATAATAAATATATTTTTAAATATTACATTGACGATCAAAGACGTTCTGTCTCAGAGAAATGGATAAGGTTACTTTCTCACTAAATCTAAAATATGTTAAGTGTTTGATTTAAAGGAAACATACTGTCAGTGTAATGTGTATTATTTGCACTCATGATCAATAACTCTCCTGTTCTGCAATGTCCTTCTGCTCATGTTTGTGATGTGGGATATTAATGGTCCCATGTAATCACTCTTACTGTGACTAGTTAGTGAGGAACAGAAGGAACTGGTTGTTTCTGATATCCTAAAGTGCTGATTGATATGATATTGATATGATATAGTGACACGCCTTCAAGCAGAGTCCTCGACTCAGTTCCACTCCTTCCTGTCTGCAAGCGGACCTTTCGATGATGGCTCAGACATGGAGGGGAGGAGCTGAGGCCTGGGCTGGAGGTTATTCTATAAAACTAACTTGTCCGGTTCAGGAAGTTCGAGCAGGTCAGGTTTCACGTGGATGAGAGCATTGATAACAGTGTAATCTTGTATTTGCATGTTCTGTGAATGATGGTCTGCTCTCCAAAGCTTTGTAAATAAATCTGATGAACTACACCTTGGTCTGATTGGAGATCTTCTTTTTTCCTTGACGCATACTACGTCTTCTAGGTGATAGTCATTACAGAAGGGATGTGTTCAAGTTGTAATGTTAATGAAAATGGATTGACAATGCTAAATATGATCAAATATGATTATAGAAATATGTTATCATATTATTTAAACGTGTGATGTCACACTCAAATCATGATTGTAACTGGTTTCTCTACAAAGTTTATGTCTTAACAAAAACTTTTTAGCAGAACTCTGGGATGGCCTTCTGGGGTCCTTGTTAGATAAGTGCAGTAAAGTAAGAAATATGGAGGTTTCTTGTCTGAAGGTGTGCTGTTGGTAATAAAACTAACAGTAATTAGATGTTGTGTTATCTGGAACAAGCAGGAGTCTGTTTTTGTAAAGTGCTGGAACTCTTTGTATTGGAGTTTTCTCTGTTTGGGCCCACAATACTTATAAAATAAAGAGTTATTCGCCCATGTCTTGAGCTTTTAGTCTGCAATAGAAAACCAGGGAATAAACACACTGAGAAGGATGATTGCTGAGTGCAGGTGTGCTACTTGATAATTATATAAAGGTGAGTGTCAGGGCTAGACAACTGCAGACATCTGGTGGCCATGTTGTTATTATAACATTTGACAGAATTACTAAAACTATTCTAGACTCCAGTAAAACCCAAGAAACACGATCAACTTATAAATGAAAATAAACCAAAACAAAAACCCCACTACCATGACTATGCCTGTTTCTATGCTCTAATTCTTGTTATTCCTTTTTGAACTCTCATCTATCTTATTCTGTACTGACTAATACTGACACGTGCACCAACTGATCTGACAAAAATGATGTTTCAATAATAAATAATTAAATCCTCTACTCTTTTCAATCAGACTCCTACATACAGTAGGTCATATGTAGGTCAGATCATTCCTGATGCATCCTTACTTTTCTATGCCGACGATAGTTGTTTTATTGTTGAGCTAGAACAGTTGCTAAGGTTTTTCATCTCTTACAGTCTGCATTCGACATCATCCAGTCAGAGTTGTTCCATTTCAAACTGGTGCTAAATGCCGTTAAAACCAATGAAATGTTGTTTTCAAACAGGAAGTCGGTACCAGCAGTTCTTCATTCTATCTTATCTAAAAATGGTGTCCTGTTGAGTTTGTCGATTCTTACAAATACTTGGGTATTTTGGTTGATTTGCATCTCTCTTTTAAGCCTCGTGTTGAAAACTTGATAAAGAAATTGAAAGTAAAATTGGGTTTCTTTTTTAGAAAAAGTTTTTGTCTAACTCTGAATGCTAACTTAAGAAACACCTTGTAGCTGCTACTTTCCTTCCCTCCATTGACTATGGTGACATTATTTACATGAATGCTCCTGCAAGCACCTTGCAGATGTTGGACGCTGTCTATCACGGTGCGCTAATATTCATAACTGGCTATAACTGCCACACTCATCACTGCACTTTGTATTCACTGGTTAACTGGACATCATTAACTTCACACAGACTCTCTCACTGGTACATTTTCATCTTTAAATCACTTCATGGTCTGTTGCCTTCATACATCTCCTCCTACATGTCAAGTCGTCAGTGCAGCTTTTTTTTTTTATTAGACCCTTATTTATACAGGTTAGTTAATGTGTATAATTTATTTTGATAAAGCCTATTGATGATCATTGTCAGAACCTCTCTACTGATTGAGATGGAGCAGATTTAGAGGATTGGCAGCTACAGTCTCCATTGTCCCACCCTTGGGAATCTTCACAATAATCACTTCCCTTAATGCACTTGTAGAGCTTCACAAAGCTGTTTGAGTGGCTGTCATCACTTAAAGCTTTTATTCATCTCCTCTGTGGAATTTTAGTCTCTTTTGTATGCACGTCTAACCTGCTGAGTTGTCTTTGATTTATATCCCTCTCATATGTGCTGTAATGATAAATTTATGTGTTTGATACTTTGTGTTGCTGTAAAACCCTCTTCTAACTTTCTTACTGGTTTCTTTGTTTGTTTTTTTCTTCTAGAATTTGTCCTCTTCTAAGTGTTTCATTTTCATTTGTGCACAACACATTTTCCCCACTTTTCATCTGATGTACCTGTTCCTGTAACTTCTTTGTTCACTTTTTCTAATATCTCTTTGATCTCTGTCCTTCTTTGCATCATCGTCACATTTCTTCTCTCAGGGGGATTCTACGGAAGTGATTAATTGTCCTGAAATGTGTGCAACGAGTGGAACCAAATGACTCAGCAGACACATCAGCACATATGGAATTCTGATCCATGTTAGCTTCAGTTTGCTTGCAGTTATTAAATGACTTGCTTTCTTTAGCGAGAGTTGGACACGTTCACACAATCTTTGTTGCTTGATAGCTCAAGGCTGTACATTATTGGTCCTGTTAAAACGTCAAATTAAAGGCAACTGCTGCAGCTCAATGAATTATGTTTATGGGGATATTTATTCTTCTATTACTTGTTAGTGTGTGTCTGTCTGTTCTTGTGAATCTTTCGAATGCTGTTGAAAAGAGCACATGGAACACATCTATTGTTTATACATTAACATAGAACAGCGTATGCAACAGACTTACTGGTTAGGCTATAAGAATGAGACTTTTTCTGCAAGTGTTACATTTTATTTTATGCTGAATCATTAAAAAGTGTACTGCTCTTGTTTTAATCTGCATTACAGAGCATGAAAAGCATCGCCTATGCAAAAGCACCGAATACATGAATCTTCACTTCAAAGTCAAATGGTTCCATAATGAGTACGTACGTGACCTGCCGGCCTTCAAGGATGTTCCACCTGAGTATTCTCTGTGAGTGGCCTCCTCTTTTTCCAAATACAAATATGCATACAGAAACATAAATACAATAAACACATTTTAACACATACTTATTTTTGTAATCTATAACTGATTCTATGCTAACACACCCTAATAGAAAATTGTGGCAAAGAGGCATGTTCAATAAAAAGCTTTAACAAAAAAGCTAAAAAATAGTGCTAAATACGTTTAACTAATGCTACATACAGTCTATTAAACCTGACCTCCATTATGGGTACAATGGTTAGCTATTGCTCAAATAGTTTCAGCAAATGTGTTTAAATGTACGACACTATTGATTGTATTAATATGAATCATCTAACAAAGTTAAGTCAAGTCCTCTGGACGGAAAATAAAAACAACAAAAAAAAAACTTGTAATGTTTTGTCTTTAACCCAAACGACTTTGTCAGTCTGAGGAGCTGCAACAAACTCAGTCTTATAAGTAACTCCTTCTCATAGTGGATCAACTAGTTTGTTATTGCCATCCAGAACTAGCTATTCACATAATAAAGGAGGACCGTCAGCCTACCGACTGATTGTTAGTGCTCAGATGGCCACTTGCTATTCACAGAGAGATACTATCAATAACAGAATTGTAAGAAGGTGACAATTGGACACGGAGGCCTCCACCCCTGTTTAATGATGGATCTCTTCATAAAGGTGACTTCCTTCACTTCTCTCTCAAACCATCGTAATTACCAATATAAACCATGATACTGTATCCAATAAATGACATTAACATAAAACATAATTGCATATGACAAACAGGAAACAGATTTGGCAGTATTAGAATCCTGCAGATAGTCAGAAACAGTCAACAGTTGTTTTTCTATTAAAGGTTTACAATCTCCCAATTCTTGCATTAAATTACACAACCTTTCCTTTTTTTAATATTGTAATGTGTTAAATTATTTGGATTAGCTATCGGCCTGGATTGCTGACAGAGCATTTTTGCATCCAATTTTTATTTTTTTTTTCTACTAAGCCATGCTGTATTACGTGCAGCGTGCCGTTTGGCATCACACAGTAGAAACAAAAGAAAACCCTTCCTGGAAAAGGCTTCTTAAATATATACAGTATGTTGCCCCCCAAATCTGCATGTATCATTCAGCATGAACAAATATGTAAGTGACAACTCAACAGCTGAAGAAAATCAGCAAATATCAATAGAAAAATTAGGACAATAGGTTAGATCATTTTGCTGTATTAAAATTAAATCTGTAAAACCTTTTTGTCCACATGGGCAAGTGGTTTGTGATTGCATGGCAATACACAGGGTGATTATTGCTTGTGTTCATTGATGGGATGCATTTTATGGCTTAAAAGCATATTGTTTTTTGCTTTGCATGTATAACTTTGTGCAGCAAAGCAAGGATTGCTGTAATATAAACGTGCGTAATGCAAGAGGGGACTGCAGTGCCCTCTTCCTTCCAGTCTATCAGATTAATGACTCATCTGCCTCATCTCCAACACTGTCACTCAAACACCATCTCGAGCAAGATTGATTCTTTCCGAGGCATGGCCTGCAGATTATACAAGCACACCAACTCTCACACACATGAGGGTCTGTCTGTGTTTTCTCTGTCATCACACCCGCCTTATTTACTGGCTTTCCCCTGAGTGGTGCTGCCCTCAGCCGGAGCAGAGATTGGAAGAGACGTTCATTGTTCTGACGACAAAGTCAGGCGCAGCATTAAACAAGGGAATGACCAAGTTCAAATCAGAACAGCGTAATTGTTCTGCCAACAAATGAAGCTGCCTCATTTGTCCTCTGAGCTTAAACATCGAATCTTTTCACAAACTGATACTCAGTATAAAGACCTGCAAGAGCTGTTTCCTTAATCAAAACCACCCTGATATCTGTGTAGTGGTGAGTGTACTGTAATCCATTTAGGATGATCATCAGGTATGTTTTAAATAGAAGGTTCTGGTCTTTGACTTACTTAGGGTTGGACTAATGCTCATACACTGCCTGGCCAAAAAATGTTGTCACTTGGATTTAACTAAGCAAATAGGTACGAGCCTCCTATTGGATAATTACTACATGGGTGATTATCTTTCAGCTGGCAACAAGTTATTTAACCCCAGCTGGTGCAATGAGTTGCTTCTCATTTCTTAAACAACCATGTCGAAAGACGTATCGCGTGGTTGTGGAAAAGATGTCAGTCTGTTTGAGAAAGGTCAAATTATTGGCATCAAGCAGAGAAAACATCTAAGGAGATTGCAGAAACTACTAAAATTGGGTTAAGAACTGTCCAACCCATTATTAAAAACTGGAAGGATAGTGGGGACCCATCATCTTCGAGGAAGAAATGTGGCCCAAAAAAATTCTGTATGATCATGATCGGTGATCACTTAAACGTTTGGTGAAATCATATAGAAGAAAAACAACATAGCACTCAGGGCTATGTTTAATAGTGAACGTAAAATCATTTCCACAAACACAATGCAAAGGGAACTCAAGAAGTTGGGACTGAACAGCTGTGTAGCCTTAAGAAAACCACTAATCAGTGAGGCTAACTGTAAAAAAAGCTTCAATTTGCTAGGGAGCATAAAGATTAGACTCTGGAGCAATGGAAGAAGGTCATGTGGTCTGTTGAGCCCAGATTTACCCTGTTCCAGAGAGTGACGGGCGCATCAGAGTAAGAAGAGAGGCAGATGAAGTGATGCTTAGTGCCTACTGTACAAGCCCTTGGGGACGTGATATGATCTGGGGTTGCTGCAGTTGGTCAGGTCTAGGTTCAGCAACAGTATGTGCTCAAAGTCAAGTCAAGTCAAGTCACATTTTTTTATATAGCACATTTCAGCTGACTACCTGAATATACTGAATGACTAGGTTATTCCATCAATGGATTTATTCTTCTCTGATGTCACAGGCATATTCCATAATGACAATGCCAGGATTCATCGGGCTTGAATTGTGAAAGAGTGGTTCTGGGAGCATGAGACATCGTCTTCACACATGGATTGGCCACCACACCTTAACCCCATTGAGAAAATCTGGGATGTGTTGGAGAAGGCTTTGCGCAGTGGTCAGAATCTGTCATTATCAATGCAAGATCTTGGTGAAAAATTAATGCATCACTGGATGGAAATAGATCTTGTGACATTGCAGAAGCTTATCGAAGCAATGCCACAACGAATGCATGCTGTAATTAAAGCTAAAGGCGGTCCAACGAAACATTAGTGTTTGACCTTTTTTTTGGGGGGGGGGGGCTTTTTTTTGGTCTAGGCAGTGTATTATTCTTCAGCCAAAACATAAAAAAAACCCTCTAACTACAATGACAGAACATTTCTTTGTTAGGTGGTTCGAGCCATTTGTCATTCAGTGGCTTGATGAGAATGAAGACGTTGCCATGGATTTCCTCAACGGAGCCCTTGAAAGGGACAAGAAAGATGGGGTGAGTATAGCACTGAATTATTCTTCAGGATGTAACTTTAATTTCTATCTGCCCACGCCACTTAAAGAATGCTTTCTTATTAACGCCTCCCGAGGTTGACTTTACATCTTGAAGAGGAGGATATAGGAGGGAATTTTGCACAGTCAGAAACACATCTTGCCTTGAGATATGACAAGACAGGAATAAAAATGAAAAATAATTAAACATTTATGTAAAACAGGAAGTAAAACATGCTTTATTTGGGGCAGAGGGGATTTAGAGGGATATTAGAAAAACATGACAGGAAATATATAAAAGCCTTGTGAAAAGAAAAGTGCAGTATTTGTAGACATTTATTAGCTAGTGTGTTCAAATTTACCCAAAATAGAGAATATATTGTTCTGTCTGGTGCATTTAATGATACACAAAGCTTTTAGCCCCTCGCTTGTCAATAGATGTTTAATGCATAATTTAATTTTCTTTGCTAAAGTTGAAATGCACTTAGGTTTGATGCTAAAAGTAAAACTTTTTTTTATCAAGTCAACTTTTATGTGCTTCCAGTAAAAGCTTTAAAATAACAAGAGACTCCACAGAAGGACAAACAACACATTGTACATGTAAAATGCAATTGTTACACATGAATAAAATGTGTAAACATAAGAAAAAATTCAATTTTCTCTAAAAAATGTGTACTTTTTTTGGTTAAATATATTTGATGCATTCAATGTAACAAATTATTTTGATATAAAATCAGAATGTAAATGTTGAAGATTCACACTTTTTTTGTTTTTTTAGGATCCACTTAAACATATAAGAATACAACAGTCCCTCGTTTATCACGGGGTTTAGGGGACCACGCCCACTGCGATAAGTGAAAAACTGTGAAGTAGGTGTACAGTAGTCCAAGTTCAAGTTGCACTCCCATTCTCCCTCCTGTGTAAATAATGTAAATTTAAATACTGTAATATTTTAATTGAACAATTAATGCAGCATGAATTGTTTTTTTTTTAAATATGGCAGTATTTAAATTGTAGAGAAGAAAATCGCTGCTGCTGCAGCTGGAGGAGAAATGTGGGCGTGGCAGAGAGGAGGTCATGACCACATTGCTACAGGAGGGAGCTTCTCCCTGCACTGTGGGCTGTGCAAAGGTGCAGCAGGTGCTAAATCATTTAAATAATCCATTTTAAATAAAAAATCATGTTGCTCATGTGGCTCATCCATCAGTGAGCCAATTGTGTGTCATGTCCACTCTTACTTTGAAAAACCACGAAAAAGCGAGTCCGCGAAAGTCGAACCGCAAAGTAGCAAGGGAATATTGTATTTTGTACAATTACAAACAGTTAATACATTTTTATTAAATGTTTATTCCACTACTCTAAATAAAGTTACACAATTCTGAGGCACGAGCTGAAACAAATCTGTCAAATTTTATATAAAGTAGTCCCTTGTTTATCGTGAGGGATCCGTACTCTGAAGCCCTGCGATAAGTGAAAAACGAGTGAAGTAGGAATAGTAGTACAAGTAGTAAGTAGTAGTAGTAGTTGCGTTTTAAACCCATCCCACACTCTTGCAATATTCTAAACAATGTTTCTAAACGATCTAAAAGAACACAGAATGTCATGATTTCAGCTCCCTGCCTCCTCTGCTCTCAGCCACCAGCAAGCACTCTTGGCCACACCCACTTCTCCATTCTGCATGGAGAACAGCTGATCAGCTGCAGCAGGCAGCTTATCCTGCAGCGTGGGCTGCACAAAGGTGCAGGAGGTGCTAAATAATTTTAAATAATTTATTTTAAATAAAAATAATATGCTGATCGTGCGGCTCATCCATCAATCAGCCAAATGTGTGTCATGTCCAATCTTGTTTTTACAAACCGCGATAGAGCGAGTCCGCGAAAAACAAACCGTGAAGTAGCGAGGGACTACTGTATATATATGTTTTACTTTAAAATATCTTTGTGCGTAAACTTGTACATCTTGTCTTCTGTTTTTAGTTTCAGCAAACCTCAGATCATGCCCTCTTCTCCTGTTCGGTGGTGGATGTGTTCACACAGCTAAACCAGAGTTTTGAGATTATCAAGAAGCTGGAGTGCCCAAACCCACAGGCTCTGGCTCACTTCATGTGCCGCTTTGCGAAGGTCAGGCTTATTGCAGTGGCCTATTTATGAACCCTGATAACTCCTGTTGCTTATAACTCCCAGTTAAAGAGTCTGTCATTGATCAAAACTGACTCACCGGTATTTTTATTGTGTTTCATATTAACATTTCATAATAGAAAGTGTAAATAATAGAAGAGCAAACAAAATATAACCATAAAACTGCCTCCTTATCGTTCCCCACAGACTATCAACAAAGTTCTTTTGCAATATGCTGCAATCATTTCCAAGGACTTTCCATCACATTTGAATAAGGAGAAGGTGGTAAGTGCCCACACATTTTCTATAAATTCAGCAAAGTTTAGTTTAAATTACCCAAGTATGTACATAAATACTGTCTTCATCAGTGGTTGTAGTGGAGACCTGGAATAAATATTCATTTAACCTTTATTTATACAGGTTAATCCCACTGAGCCTCGAGGACTCATTTACAAGAGAGACCTGATTTTAACAATCAGATTTTAATAATCAAATGAAATGTGAAATTTTGTTTCAGATTTCAGTTTGATCAAAAGCTTTGACCCTTCTTTAATAAAGCCCTTTCCATTGTCCCTAACTGAGAAACTATTATTCATCTCACAGTCCAGATAATGGGAACAAATTATTGACCTTTTCTCTGTCAATAGTTTATTCTGATTGATGACTAAACTTATCAGTTTTCGTTTGGCCTCATTATTCACATTGGTTTTTGAAGCTGAATAAGTAAGCAATAAGAGCCAGTGTTGGAACACAGCTGGTAGATGTTTCTTTACAGTGTTAAGTCTCAATTGGTCCCAAGAAAATGTAAAATGTTTTTTTTTTTTTTGTTTTTTTTATGACGGGGCCAAAGAGACAAATGATGTAAAAAAGCAACTGCAGTCAGAGGTTCAGAAACTTTCAGACGCTGGAGAGATGGAATCAAATTATTCTACAATCACAATTTGTGGTACACATATTTTATGGTTAAGGGACAGAGGACTCAGCAGATCAAGGTTACTGGCTCTTGCTGAATGTTTTAAAAGTCAGCCGTTTAAAAAGTGAAACAAGGATTTGGGCTTGTGGGCAGGGAGAAGCATGAAGTCAGGCCACTTTTGGATCAGCTTCATCTCAGTGTTTATCTCAAGGCCCTAACGTGTTAATTAAAATGAGGTAATGCTGGGTTGATTTGTCAGTTGTCTATTTAAAGGACAAGAAGTAGAAAATAAGATTATCATTTCTTACCAGCTATTTGATTTAGTTTTTATAACTTTGGGATCCTGGAATACACACACACACACACACACACACTTTTTTTTAATAAGCTAATTTGCTGTCATGCTATTTCCTCAAAACACACATTCTTGTTGTTTTTCTTCTGCTAATGTTACCACACCTTTTCTCTGGTGCCCTCATTTAAATGTAACTTTTATCATGGCACATTTGTCAGCGTGCGCAGTCAATGGTCACAAAAAATCTGGGCTTCACACGTTCATCTGCTGATAAAGCAGGCAGACCCTAGCAGACAGATATAATTAACTAAATTTATGTCACTCAGGCTTCTTAGCTAAATGCACAGTCAGCAAACAGAGAGCCATGCATTCAGTTTAAGCCTTAGCAGCAAAACGCTGCATTTTCAACACGTTAGAAAACAAGTGTAATGTAATCCACACATAGTTTTCTTTTAGATTATCTACCTTTTTACTAAAAGTTTTTCTTTTTTTTTTTTTAACTTCTACACTTGTGGAAGTAAATTAGTTGTTTTTAGTTCATAAAAGTATATATATATATATTTTTACATGGTAGCCTTTATTCATTTTTAAGCATCTTCATCATGTGCAAGTGTTTATAGTTTTTACAGTTGACTTGTGGCGTGTCTCTTGTTACTAGATCAAATACTTTATCATGTTATTTCACTTCCATTAAATATGAATGATGTGCTGTGCATTTATGTGTGTTCTATAGTAAAAACAAAAATCTGATTGAGAATATCCAATCATTACTAAACAACTTCACTCATAAATCAAACAGAGAGAGTTGCAGCACATGTTGCCCCAGAGACATTTGGTTGCTTTGAGGTTTGAAAGATGTCAATCATCCCTCTGCTCTGAGATGCAGGATTATCGTATTAGTGCTATTCATTACCACAATACTAATTAAGATGAGTTGTATTCTCCCCTGTTACGTTTTAGAGCAGATAATGCATGTTCTGTGTCGGACTTGGAGAACTCTGAAGATTTATTCTTGGTCTCCATAAAAAAGTGTCGTGATTAATGTCTGTCATCTGTTAAACTTGTTATGGAGCGGAGAATCGATAACTCCTGACACAATCAGTGCAGACATTTCTCTCCTGGTTGCGATGTGTGTTGTATTTCCCTACTGTTGTTTGCACGCATGCTTTGCTTCTGTGTACAGAAGATGTGTCAGAAAATCAAAATTGATAGATTTCACTAGTGGTAACTTTGGGATTTTCTTTTGACATTTTGCATCATGTTTCAGATCACAGTGGATAATGAAAGGCTCACAAACTATTTCAATACATTTCAAAGAGATGTAAAACAAGAAATTATTGTTTATGCACTTTTTTCTTTCTTTTCTTTGCTGGAGGACATTTAAACCTTGAAGGCATTTCATAACCACTGGGTACTGCATTGTGCCATAAAAAGCAAACGTGCCACATTTGTTTAATTATTTAATTTATTTATTTGCTCTTTTGCAGCCCTGCATTATTCTCAACAACATTCAGCAACTTCGTGTACAACTGGAGAAAATGTTTGAGTCTATGGGAGGCAAACAGGTCTGTACATAATTATTATTCTGCCTGTATTGTTTTGTAATGCATTTCTATTCATTTAATAAACAACTAATGCAAACTTCCATTGAAAACATGGACAAAAATGACAGCAGATTGGTGCAGCTTGTTAGCAATGTTGCCTCACAGGAAGAAGGTCCTGGTTTTAACGTAGAGATCACATTGCTCATAATCATTTGAGTACAAGTCTTGGCTCTCATAACTCATTCTGAACGTTTGTAATGCTATGTCAAACTTCCCTTTAAATTATACCTAAGACCAATTTCACAGAACCCAAACTATGGTACCCTTTGTTGTTGCTGTTGATGACTATATGTAGGTTTGAGACATATTGGAACAATATGTGATGTGTGATATTATTGTACAATATTGTGATGATTGTGATAAACCCACCTTCTCTTCAATCTTCTCTTTCTGTTTTGTCATCAAACTAAACTTAAAATGGGCACCATGACCAGTGAGAATCAATTTCATTGGCCACATAAATTAACATGCAGAATATGAATGTGCTGTACTTGACATATATTAGCTTATGATTTATTGCAGTCCAAACAATCCTTAGCAATATTGATAGTTTGCTCTCTAATACTGCGATGCAGATCGTTCATTGATAAATTGTGTGTCCCACGTCAAATGCATATAAGTGACATATCCATACACAATTGACTGAGTGTTGCTCAATCACTGTGTTCATCTGGCAGTGTGAAAGTAAACATGTGGGTTTACAAGGATCTCCTTAATGGATCAGACAGTCCTTAGTCCTTAGAGAGTCCTTAGAACTGTTTGAAAACACTTTCAATGGCCCTGTGAAGGACTACTGACTTATCCAGGGTGCACCCTAGCCCTAGCCCATTGACTACTAGCAATAAATGCCAATTCTCTCCAACCCTGGATAGGATAAAGTAGTTAAAGAAAATGAATGGATGGATGACTTGGGACCTGTCCAGGTTGTACCACGCCTCTCACATAGTGACTGCTAGATGTGGACAGCAGTGATCCCTGTGATCCGAAAAGGAAGAAGCGAGTAAAGATGATGAGTGGATGAGTGGCTGGATGGATAGGATAGGATAGGATAGGATAGGATAACACTCAGGGCTTAGAAGATCCCATGCTATACATTAACAGAGTTGATTCTAGTAGATTTAGAAACAGAAACGAGTCCTCTTAAATCAACAATCTTATCAGAATCCAGTTGTTGTTGTTGTTGTTGCAAAGGTTTTTGATGACAGTTATTTTGTAAAAGCATATTGATCCAGCACTGATGTCTATGTTTCTTCTGTCAGTGTGGCTTGCTATTCTTTTCCAGTTTTGACTGTTTTTTGTAACTTCCTTTGATCCATCCACTCTTTCCCACTACTAACTCCACTCATACTATATAAAAAAAACAAAAAAAACAAAGCATCTTTATTTACCATTTTAGTAAATGTCTACTGAATCCTTAAATTATGTGTTGTATTTGAAATTTGGATGATCTTTCTTTCTAAGGTCTGTCAGTATTTAACCTGAGAAGCAGCCCCCTTAGCTTCCTACAAGTGACAAGCATGTTTTCCTCTAGTTTCTAACACATGTCTTGCTTTGCGTTTTGTCTCTTGTCGTTGTGTCCTCTATTCCCCCCATTTCCTTTTTGTGCTCTCTCTCTCTGGTTCCAGGAGGAGGGGGTTGTCTCCTTTTGTAAGGTGTGTGCAATATAGGACTCTTTAACAACCCTTTCCATTTATCAATTAGTACAACAAAGCACGCCCTTCCACACCACCCCTCACAATCCTGCGCTATTCCCACCACACCCCCACCCCTTCCAGCAGCATGTGCCACAGAGCATATGGAGCAGAAATTACCCATCACCCTTTTGGGCAGGCTGCTTAAGATCACCATCCCTTACACATTGGGGATATTGGCCATGGGATCCCATCTTTAATTTTTTAGCTATTTTCCCCCTGACACTTTTCTGTCCATGACTAATTTAGAACTGATGTATGGTAAGGTTGTTGTTCTCACGTTGCTCCAGCTCAAGGAGGCGAGCTTATAGCTCACCACCAACTTACAGGCTGTGGATTTAAACTATACTCTCCATTCCCCAAACTGCAAACACAAGTGCTTCAGAGAGGAATTTTCAGACCATGTTCTCAAACACTCACATCCTTCCAGCTGTGATTTCTCCAAGCTTGTGCTGTCATCTGTTTGTAGATCTTAACCTGGATTGCATGTAGGTCATTTTTTTTTTCTAAAGAATAAGGACTCTACAAAACCTAATCTTCCTACCCAAAAAATCAGTGTTTTTGTGAAGGATCATATTGTAGAAATTAAGTAAGCATTTTCTGTTAAGTATCTTATTTAAGCCTGTCTTTCAAATCCAAGCTTATTTATGATTTTCTTCCTGCGCTTTAGGCTTTTCATTGTAAATGTGTTTTCTGTCAGGAATCAGCTCATACCAAAACTAATTAGCAAGTGCTGTTATCTCAGTTTGATGCCACCAATAACAAAACTCAATAGTTATCTAAGACATTGCTAATTTATAGCCTTATCTACTACTGATTTGCCAAGATTAACATCTGACTTTACGTTAGACTTTGCCCTGTTGGCTGATATGCTTCTCTCCCGTTCAAAATAGTTGTGCGTTAAGGTTTCTTTACTCGGCTTCACGAGTAATTTTGGATCTGCTGTGCTGTAGAATAACAACCTGCCAGAGAATAGATATTGGACTGTTGAAACAAGCAAACTGAAGCAAAGCTGGGCAGCAGCTGATAGGCTGTCAGCCAGGGGAGAGTTGCACACTCTGCAGGACTCTGGTTGCCAGTCATTGTCAAGTGAAACCAGCCACCATTGCGACGCCAGGTGCTCCATGTATTCCATCATGATGAGTTTCTTGTAATGCGTCTAATGAACAATTCTAAAATGCATCAGACACGATTAGGATTACCATGCCATCTAAAACTAGATTTTATATCTCCTCTGACATTTTTCAAACAGACATTTTACAAAATTACATTGTTTCATAGTTGATTCACAGAAATGTCCCCCTTTCTGCCTTATTGGTAAAGTTTCTATTGTATTTACATTTAGAATATTTGAAAACGATTGTGTCTGTGAATATTAAAACCCCTGAAAAACTTAGACTTATGTACAAAATATTTGCTTATTGAAGATATTTTGTCAGTCTTGATAACTTGACGTACATTACAAGGAATGCAAAAGAAATGTCCATCACATCTGATAGGCCAAATTAACAACAACAACAACAAAAAAAAAATTACCAGATGCTCAATGTTTTGTCTTGTTTTATTCCTTTGTTTTTCAAAGCTTGTTTCCAAATCAAATGACAACCTCTTCTAAGTTACAGCCAGGGGCATTGTAGACTTCTTGCAAAGGTTTTGTAACTTGATAGGGACTGGTTTAGTTTATCCAAACCTGGTAACAGGCTTTCTTTTAAAGCTTTTTAAAAGATTATTTGAAATTTGTTTTAGTGAGACTATCAAATTATTGTGACAGTCTTTCAAATCTGGACTGCAGTCTACATGCATTCAGTTCACTTGTATCCCAAAAAATCTGAAGTCAAAGTAAAGTTTTCATGTTCTAGGTGGTCACAATTGACTGTTAAGTCTTAAAGTTGGGCACATTTTCTTTGCAAACCTTCCTTTAGGATGCTTTGTCATTGAGATAAAAGAAATAAAATAGGTTTGTGTTTCAAACTGAATAGAACCCAAACCAGCAAATGTTGAAAAGGCCGATGAAAGAGCAAGGTCTACAGAGATTTATTTATTTATCTTTTTTATGCTACTGACTCTAGGGAATAAAACTTTATGGGTAATTTTCTGTGCGAGAAGAATTTCACACATACATTGATGTATAAATCTGTCCTGTTCATGGTGCAGATGAAGGCATGTGTGCAGAATAACAATATGAATAAAAAGTTATGTTTACACATCCGCTTTCCAGCTGAGCCATCCACCATGAGAATGTGTCAGATGAACGGCTTCATGGCTGAGCTTATAGGGTCTGATGTGGTGATCTGTCATGCATGTTATCTGGCGCTTCACCTCACATGGTCATTTCAGTGCACATGTATGGCGTTACCAGCACAAATATGTTGACAATATTGGTGCAGCACAAACATCCAATGCCCATTCATTTGGTCTGAACATGTCCAAAATGCCAAATAAGCACAAACATGAACACTCTGTGCATCCATCACATAAACATAAATAAATATGGAGCTTCAGAAAACGACTTGCTACGCATGAGCATATGAATGGTCAAAATCTGTTGATGTTTGTTTAGGCTAGTCTTGATAATTGACTCTAAGGCCAACTGTGAGGTGTCAGTATGTATATATGCATGCCCTGGTTTGAATAAAAAAATGAAGATGTTAATGTAATTCATCACTTTTAAATGATACTCCTATTCAGGGCTGGGGCAGCTCAGTGTTCAGTGACATGATCTTGTAACCATTAATCTGCAGGTTCAAGTCCAGGTTGCAATAGGAAAGTCATTTGGCTTAAAACAATGGCCAAATATTTTGTGCAAATTTGCTCCCTGCAGAAGAGAGCAGCCAAAATGCAGTACACCTCACTTCTCTTAAACACATAAGCCTGTAGATTTGCATTATTATTCCTTTGTATATAGCAGACTGGAACATCTTGTCTCTAACCTGTGCAATAAAGCACAGACATGCTCATGTTACCTACCACTTCCTTATTGAGACCATGTCTTATGACTCGGCTAGCAGTCATCATTGCCACACTCTGAAGTGAGCTGTCCATTGGTATTCAACGCATTGCTTTGCACACATGGTGAGCAGAATGAGTGTGAAGCCACCGGCGAAGCAGGTTACCTCTCCTCGGAGCTCGTTGCTCTCCCACCTCCAGCACCCCTAACCGCAGTTGAGGTGTTCTCCAGTGATACAGAGCTCCTGCTGTCTACTGTATAAAGTGCAAATGTGTAGTAAATGTCTGTCTTTCACTGCACTGACAGCTGGATGCAGAAGCCAGTGATCTGCTAAAAGAGCTGCAGAACAAACTCAACAGTGTGCTGGACGAGCTCAGCGGAGTGTTCGGCTCCAGGTGGGTGAATCTCAAACTGTATGTGTGAGTTTGCAACGGATAATTTTCAGCCAGTTGATGTCTCTGTAATATGTGAAACTATACCACCTTTACTGTCAACCTGAGAATTTAACTGGCCCAAGTTTGTGTGCGTCATGCTTAGTGAGCGCAGGGAGTCATTAAACATATCAGCTTGAAGGAAAGACACCTCCGCTCGTCATTAATTAGTTAGCTTTCACCTTCTCCAACTGCCTAACATTGACTGTTATTATTCAGAGTAGAAAATGTCTTTAAAGACCAATTTTTATCATCAAACAGTTTCAAGCCTGTGATTGAGGACTGCGTGAAGCAGATGAACCAGGAGCTGGTTCAGATGAAAGGGCCAGTCAAAGGGAGCAACGCCGCCATGGATGCAGAGACGGTCTTACGGCCTCTTATGGACCTTCTTGATAAGAAGTAGGTATCTCTTCAGTGCATGGTGATAACTTGTAGGACTGTTCTGTCCATTTGTAGTGCAATGGGAACTTTAAAAACATCAAGTCAACATTCAAGCATAGAACAACAAAGTTATATACACAGTTAAAACAGGTTTCACATAACAACGTAATACCATGAAAAACTGAGAAAATATCCCAAATTTAAGGAAACCTAAAAAATCTTCTCAAGGTCAGTAATGTTAATAATTACATTCCACCTTTGGGCATAATGAAGGCTAACTTAATTGTCAATATAAATTCCAGTTGAATTCATTCAAGCCCTTCAAATATAAAAATATCTTGCTCACTGCCCAAGAAAGAGGGACATGCATCATTGGAGAAAGTCTATTAATTTAACTATAGGACTGTAGTTATTTGCATGGGTTTCTTGAGCAGCAATCTTTAAAGAACTGATTGAGCTCAGAGAATCATTCTCCACATTTGTCAAAGCAACATAGAGGCCAGTGGGGTATTACAGCGAATCCTCTTAATGATATGAAATTACAAAATCCTTCCTTCCATCTCTGAGACACTGTTCACACAAAGGGGGCAAGATTAAGTGTATAGCTGGTGCTTTTATTCTGAGTCACAGGTGTTATAATTTTTTTAATTCTATGTATAAAGGTGTCATTACTTGAAGACTTGAGTCTTGTTAACTCAGGTTGAGACATGTGCTGTAAGTGTCACCCTAACAGAAGCCTCTTCTGGCTCCCTCACAGTTTGATGTTATTCGCAAAGATCTGCGAGAAGACGGTACTGAAACGAGTTCTCAAAGAGCTGTGGAAAATTGTACTCAACACTATCGAGAGAACAATTGTTTTGCCTCCACTGAGTGATCAAAGTGTGAGTTTGAATGATCTACCTTTTTACCTTTTTGACAACCTCTTCTCATCCAGGACTCTACCTTCTTTCATTTTATCCGCCTGCCTCACTGTCATTCCTCCATCTGTTGAGCCTTAAATTCCCATATAGAAAACAAAACTATGTTGCATCTCAAAGGCCCATTCCACACTATTCCAAATACATTTTATAAATTGATACAATTTTCTTTGTTCATGTTTATTTCTGGTGGCACAGTGGTTCAGTTGGTAGCACTGTTGCTTCTCAGTGAGAAGGTCTCTGGCCGAATCCTGGCCAGGGGCCATTCTGGGTGGAGTTTACATGTTCTCTCCGTGCATGCGTGAGATTTCTCCAGGTACTCCAGTTTCCTCCCACAGATCAAAAACATGCATGTTAGGCTGGTTTGTAACTCTAAATTGTCCCTAGGTGTGAGAAAGAGCTTGGCCAATTCAGTTTTTTAATTTATTTTTATTACTTTTACAGTTTCATCTCAGCTATTAATCATTTCAGTGCACAATCAACGTTTTACTCCAACTGGATAATGGCAAAATGAGATAGATCCAGAAAAAAACTGTAATAACAGCTCCATATTTGTTTTGGTTTCTAGAACAAGTGTGATAGTGAGCATGCACAAAAAGAGGCTGCCACTTTATCATTTCTGAAAAGCTCCATATTTCCAGTCTACATAAGAGCTACCATTCATTCATTCATTCACTCATTCATTCATTCATTCATTCTACCCTTTGGAAAATGTTTCCACTAAGGTTACTGCCTGTGTGACTGGAGATGCACACACAGCAGACAATGCTTATCTGATATAGCTTATATAGCACCAGAATCTTAAAACATCAATTTTTTTTTTGAAGATATAAATCCTTATATGTAAGAACTTGGTTCCCGTTTAGTCTGTTTTAAATATTGTTTTATTCTAGTCAGCAGTGGCGCCGTTCTAATGTTGATGCCATCACGTCAGCATTTTCACGTTTATTACTTGTATTCTGCATTCATTTCACCACAAAACTGATTCACATTTTGTTCTGCAACTTCTGTTTCTTGGTTCGATCCTAAAATTGATTTTGTTTTCACACCTGTGTAGCTCATAGGACTATTATCTTGTTGTCCAAATGAAAATATGTATGTGTTCAGCAACAGGGGGCTCAGATGATCTTTAATGCTGCCAAGGACTTAGGACAGCTGTCCAAACTGAAGGTAATCTTTGGGTCATAAAGCACATTTTGCATAATTTACTAATATTTTAAGATAGTACGATTTAAAGTTTAAACTTTGGTCAAAGATGGATTTTGGACAAGATACAAAGACATTACAGTTATACTGAACATGAAACAAACACAGATGTTGTGTCACAATGTGTATCTGAAACATTCTAAAAAATAATAAATCTGGTCCTCTGGAAATCAAAATTAACAAACAAACAAAAAAAAGGTAGAAACGTTTTGTCTTTCATCCGAAAGACTTCATCAGTCTGAAGAAGTCTTTCGGATGAAAGACAAAATGTTTCTACTTTTTTGTTTTTTGAATGTCCAGAGGACCAGATTTAACTTTTTTAGATTTTTCTACCTGGATTATTGAGCATGCATCAGGATATCTGAAGCATTGTGGGTATTATAGAGAAAAAAATTATGTGAAAAATAACAAATATTCTAAAATAATTTTACAAAAGATAGTGGTTTATATGTTTTTAACTCTCTGTCCATAAATAACTCAGGGTATGAAAACCAACAAATATAATTTTCTGAGTAATATAAAATAAAAATAGATTTGAACCAAAGAGTCATTTTAAGTCAAACCAATATTAACATTGATGGAAATATTCAGGAGCCAGACAGTATGATTTAGCCATTAAAATGGACTTAAATGTTTATATTTGCTCCAATCTTTTTGTTCTTAGTTCACCAAACTCTATAAAAATAATTGTTTTTTGCATTAAGTGTATTCACTTTGTTGATCACGTTTGAAAACGTTCATTTATTCGTTTTCTCCAAGACATATGCTTTACATCCTCGCAGTGCTGCAACCTGAACTTGCAACTATCCTTTTGATTGTATGTATTCTTAGCACACAACACAAAGATAATTATAAAATTCATCTACTTACCAGATTTATGAAACTGCAGTTTATGACCTGCAAATGTTGCAATGTTTGAATCTGTGGTTTTAGTTTCGTCAGCTTCCTGTTTCATAAAACATTAACTGCACTTTGGCTGTAAGAAGCACTGGTACCTGGGAAATAAACCAGTGCCAGCAATTCTTTACTGCAATCAATTCACAGTTCAGGAATGGTCCAATTAGAACTGACAATACTGTTTTTCATGACTGAAATAGATTTTTAGTGTACTGATGTGAAACAGTAAGGTTGAAGTTTATCTCTCAGCAGTGTAAATGACAGCACCTGGTTCTTGTAGTTTCAAAATAGTAAAAGGACAGATATTAAATAATAATGTAAAAAATATGTTTTCATTACAATTATACTGGTAAAGTTAAAAATTTAGAGTGTCAAAGTGTGGCTCATAATGCCATTTAGCCTTCTGCAGTTATTCACCCTTTCTGGTTCCTCTCCAGGAGCATGTCATTCGAGAGGAAGCCAGAAGTCTGACACCTCGCCAGTGTGCCGCCATGGACCTTGTGCTTCCCACTGTCAAGGTACGACTTCTGTTAATTTCGCCATTGGCTGGGAAAAAAATAAACTTGACCTTCAAAAAGCTGAGCAGATGCACAGAGATATGCAAATGTATGTAAATGTGCATCTGAATGGAAGCGATGGGTGATTTTTGTGTAGCACTTTAAAATATTTATGCCAAAATATTAAAAACAGAATCTAATTGAAACAGCAGATTTTCCTTCTGCAGAACCTTTTTTTTTTCTTAGATGGACATGAGACAGCTTGAAGAGCATGTCTCAGTCCTTCAGAGGCAAGAGAAAAGTTATGATGAGGTGCTGCAGGTGAAACACTGCATCATAAAGTGCCAAGGAAACTAATTGCTTTTACTGTCACCATGGAAACTGCCTGCAGGTTTAGATCAGTCACATCACTAGGATTCTTCCCATCAATGTTTAGGTAAAAAGAGTCTCTTGGTGCTGTTAAATGGAGGAGAATGAGTTGATTAGATAAAGATATTCTGGTTAGGAGGGTTTACACCGCCTACACTGGGTCATTGTTTCTAAGATACTGTATAATGGCTATGACTGGATGAATCTCCACTCAATTAGTTATAAATACTGAGGCCTGCTTGTTCAAGTGATCACTTCCACTGAATATTAAAGGATTGAATCCAAACGTTTAATGTGGGTTCCTACAGAAGGGTTGTGATCAATAAGATAGTTTATTTTGTATATATGTATATCTCTTTAACCTACCTCAGTTTAGAGTAATATTGATCAGTTCAGACCAGATTAACAAGCTAAAAGCTATTAACAGCAAGGCTAGGTTCAATGGGGATTCCACCAATCTCCAAACAATCAGCACTGAATGTACACACCATTTTAAACACCTTTACATTACAGTCAGTTTTGCATTATACTGTTTGTTCTGATAGAAATGATGAAGTACCTGTGGGAGGTGACCCAGGCTGCTCTGGAAGTGCTACATCTAGCTGTCGCTGCCACTATTTGCACTTGCAAGGAAAAACTGTTGTGCTGTAAAGATTAGTATGGCGTTTACATGTGCATGAAGAAAGATTAGAGTTGTTTTAAGATAGAAATTATCAGATAGCTCTTCAAAAGGAGTTAACAGTTGCATTCGGCCCCAAAAAATCAGATCCAACCCAGCCCCAGCCCATAGCCATCATTTCCGAATTCCACCCGACTCAACAAATTAACAGTAATTACAGGTCCGAGACCCACCCCCCACACCAACATTTTTAATTATGCTTTGACTACTTATATAGTTATTAATGGTCGGCAGACGCGCTCGGCTAAGTAAAGACTACTGATTGTCCCATCTGAAGCTTAACTGAACTTTATTTGAACTCTTTCAAGGCCAGTCAGCTCGCGGTGAAATGGCCGCGTGTGGCTGGTGATAGTATGGCAAGCCATGTTGCCATTTAATTGGATTGTGGGTGATCCTCTGATGCAATCGAAAGCCCGACACCGACCCGGCTCGCCCATCCAGCACATTATTATGGCGCAGCTCAAATTCGGGTCAGGCCGGGCTGGGCCGGACTTTGGGCCTGGGTTAGAAATGACAGCTTTAGTCCCTGTGACTCAATGAGACTACCTGTATAAATAAAGTTTAAATAAAATGAAATAAAAAATATATATTACCTTTGGTTTTGCCCCCACCTAAACTAGCTGTTAGCTTGTTGTCTGGTCAGTCTGGTATTAGTTGATGATCTGGTTCAGTTGGAAAAAGTTTATAAAACACAAAGAAAAAATGCTCCCATTTAGTTCCACAGAATATTTTGAACAATTAATTCAAAGAGTCAAACTTGTACACTGAGAAGCTCCACATTCTTTCAGATTTGAACAAGTTAATTTTAGAAAAGCATTTGTTGC